GTTTCTGCCCCCCATTGCCTCAGCACCCTTCCCCTTGGAGAGAGCAGTGGGGCCAGCCCAGCCCCCCCAACACACCCACCCAAGGATCCAAGGGAGCGCCAAGGATCCAGGCCAGCCCCCTGCCATGGCTGGGCAGGGCGACACCCTGCTTGGGGGTGAGTGAGCCATTGTGGGGCCTGCTCATGTGTTGGTATGGGGGACATGGCGGGGCTGGACCCTGCTGGCCTGGGCCCTGCCACACTGGGTTTCCCACAGGCTGTGAGCAGACGTCCCCGGGGGTGACCCTCACTGACAGCCTCATCGCTACGAGGAACCTGCCTCAGCTGGTGGAGCCCCTACACCCAGAGAGCCGGTGAGGATCCATGCAGAGCCCACCTTCATCGTCCAGGCTGCCAGGGAGGGTCTCCTGGCACAAAGGACACCCCGAGCACCCCCCTCCTCTAGATCCACGGAGCTGGTGTCACCCTCGACCATCCGCTTGGACCGGGAAAACATCTGTGCTATCGGGAGGCTCCAAAGCCTGCAGGACATTCACAGCCTCTACCTGCAGCAGGTAAAGCACAACAGCAGGCACGGAGCAGTGGAGATCAGCCCTGGTCCTTCGGGTAAAGGCCTCCTCGGGGGGACCACAAACACCCCCAGTTCTGCTCCAGAGTTTTGCCTCCCCACATGGCCAGAGGGGCTGGCAGCGCTCCCCTCCAATGACAGTGCCATCGATGGAATTCAAGTGAAGGTCTGACATCAGCCATTCGGTGTTTTTCAAACCCACATGAGAGGCCTTAGGGTCCTCCTGAATTTTGCTGAGCTCCCTGTGCTGCCACAGCCCCAAACCCTCTCCATAACGCTCCTGTGGTGGTGGTGGGACATCACGTTACCTGTGTGAGGTTGGAGTGATTCCGGGGTGTTCCCAAAGTCTGATTTTTCATGCAGTAGAAAAATATATTGCGGTTTGTTTTTTTTTTTTTTTCCAGAACCAAATAGAGAAGATCGAGAATCTGGGCTGCTTTCCCAACCTGCGGTGCGGGCAGCTCCTGCCCCTAAGTAGATTGCTTTCCATGTCTCCTTCCCTTGGCAGAGCCGGGGGGAGTTGAATTGCAGCCCCTGACAGCCTGGTGCTGCTGGCTCTGACCCTGGGGGCCATGGTGTCCCCCCCTGCCTCACACCACTGCTTTCCCTGTGCTCTGCAGGTTCCTCTCCCTGGCTGGAAACCGCATCCGCAGAGTGGAGAACCTGCAGCCCCTGCGACACCTGCGCTTCTTGGACTTGTCCCACAACCAGATACAGACGCTGGACCCAGGTGGGAGGCAGAAACAGGTCCAGATGTGGCCTGGGTCTGCCTGAGACGTGCCTCAGGTATGGGGGAAACGCTGGCCAGACCCTTGGTCCAGGCTCCACCAGGGCCTCTGGCCCTCAGGTCCCAGCCAGAGCCCCAGCAGAGCCACCCTGGGGCTGGCCTGCTTGTTCCAGCGTGACACCCAAGGAGCCCTGTGGCCAGGTTTGAGCCATCCCTTCTGCTGGCAGACTCCAGGTGTCTGCTTCCACCTTGTGTCCTGCTTTGGCAGAATGTTTCAGCGGCTTGGATCAGACTTGGAGATTTCAACCTCATGGCAAAGCTGCTCCAGCCCTGACAACCCTTCCCACATCTTTTCGCCAGCTCCTACCATGGGTGATTTTTGGCAGAAGATGGAGGAGCGGAGGGATAGTATTTCCCTTCCTTCCCCTGCAGCATTGCTATTGTGGCACCAGGCCCCCTGCTTGCAGATGGGGGTGAGAAAGGGAACGGTGAGGGCCTGGGAAGGGGAAACCCCTCAGTTCTCAAATGGATTATGTGCAATACACATTCCTGCCCTCCCTGCCTCAGTTTCCCCCAGCTGTGAGGTGAGAGGCTGCTTCCCATGGCAGGGCCATTGCCTCGGGAGTGGGTGAAGAGCTGGGGGAGATGGGGCGCTCAGGGGTTTGGTGGGGAGGGGGGCTCATGTCCCATCTCAGCACATCTCTGCCTTCCCTTTGATCTCTGCAGAGGAGCTGCCCCGCAGCCTCCGTCTCCTCGACTTAACGGGAAACGAATGCACCCAGCAGCACGGATACAGGTGGGTCAGGGGAGTCTGTGGGGAGAGCGGAGGAGGAGATCAAGTCCCCCAAACCACCCGCGCCCCTCAGCAGGACACAGCACCCCCCCAGCTATCAA